AGGGGGGAGGGGGGAGGGGGGGGGGTGGCGGTTGCTCGTGGGCACGGGCGAGAGGCGGTCGAGAGAGCGGCATTCGGGGAGCAGCAACCAAGACGGGTGTAGTAGCAGGGAGTGGGAGGGGTGAAGGGGGGGGGGGGGGGGAACCAGGGCTGGGTGTGTTTGGAGGGGGGGGAAGGGGGGAGGGGGGGGAGTGGAAGGGAAGGGGTAGGGAAACGCGGAGAAGGAGTACATGCCGTCGCCGCGTGCCTTTGGCTCAGGCAAGACCCTCCTCTGCTCTGGTCGTGTCATACTCACACCGACCACCCACGGGGTGAGCGGGTGGTTAGGAACGGTGGTCAAGGGTGTGGACACGTCGTCGGGCGAAGAGGTTGCTATCAAGGTGCGTGGATGGGAAGTTGGGGCAAGTGGAGGAGGGAAAGGGGGGAGGGGGAAGGGGACTTACTCACGCCGACCGATTGCCCATCTCGTACGGAGGATGAGAGCAGAAGATCAACCCGTTTGTGCATGTGGTGGACGCCAAGCGGACGCTGCGGGAGTTGAAGATCCTTGCGCAGCTGGACCATCCCAACATCATCTCGCTCAAGGACATCATGTCGATTCCGCACGGCATTACCGACACGTTCCAGGATCTGTACGTGGTGACCGACTTGATGGAGACGGATCTGCACCAGATCATCCAGTCTGACCAGCCGCTGGAGGAGGCGCACCTCAAGTACTTTATGTACCAGCTGTTCAAGGGCCTCAAGTACTTGCATTCGGCTAACACGCTGCATCGCGACCTCAAGCCGTCGAACTTGCTGGTCAACGCCGACTCGCAGCTCAAGATCTGCGACTTTGGCCTCTCGCGGGTCGACGAAGCCGCGGTGGCCGACGAGCTCGATGCGCTGGCGCCGGGCGATGCGCCGGCGGATATGAACGTCGCTGGTGCGTCCGACTCGGCCGTCTACACCGAGTACGTGGTGACCCGGTGGTATCGCGCGCCCGAGGTGATCTGCGACCGCCGCGCATACGGTAAGCCCGTCGACATCTGGTCAGCCGGATGCATCCTTGCTGAGATGCTGGGCCGGACGGTACTCCTCCCCGGGCGCGATCAGGTGCAGCAGCTCGCGCTGACGCTTGAGCTTGTCGGCACGCCCGCCGACGATGTCATCGACAGCATCCTCAACAAGAACGCCCGGCGCTACGTCAAGTCGTACCGCAAGGTCGAGCGCAAGCCGTTTGGCGAGCTCTTTCCGCGCGCCTCGGCCGAGGCCATCGATCTCCTCGAGACGCTGCTTCAGTGGAACCCGCTCGACCGCCCGACGGCCGAGGAGGCGCTCGAGCACCCGTTCCTGCAGGACTACCGCAACGAGGCCGACGAGAAGAAGTCCAAGGACAAGTTCCTGCAGTTTGACTTTGAGCAGACCAAGCTGTCCATCCCTACCATTCGCCGCCTCGTCTACAACGAGATGCTATTCTTCCACCCCGAGCTCGGTGAGCACATCCCGTCAACATCGGAGCGCGTCCTCGCCCTCACCGACGACGAGCTGGCGACCATGGACGACTCTGCATGACTCGTCTGCTGGAAATAACACGCGTGCCTCTTTGATTCTCACGCAATCGGCTCAAGCACCTCGTACCGCCCCACGGCGACCGCCGCGCCGTCGAGCTCGACACGCCCGGCGTCGGTGACCCGGACCCCGACGTGGCCGACCCGCTTGCTCATCTGGATCGCCGCCATTCGCGGCCCGGCTCCCACATTCAGCTTAACCGCCCAGTACGGGCCCATGAAGCAATGCGCCGAGCCGGTCACGGGGTCCTCGGGCACGCCGAGGCACGGGAAGAAGCACCGCGAGACAAAATGTGGCGTTTCCGCGTCACTCTCCGGAGTCCAGAACGAAGTCGTCACCACCACCCCGCGTTGGGTCTCCACCGCCGCCACCGCCGACAGATCAACGTCCATGCTTGCAAACGCGGCCGGCGAGTCGAACGCAGCGCAATCGAGCACCACCATCACGTCCATACGGTTGTAGACAACTTCGCGAATGCTGCCGCGCACAGCCTCGGGCAGAGCCAGCGCCGCTGCCGCCGCTACGTCCTCGGCCACAGGGCCGATGGCAGCCTCGGCCGGAAAGTCGAGAACGATGCGCGCGCTCCCGTCACCCGCCCGGCGCGCTGTCAGCGTGCCCGACTGCCGGCTCTCAAACGCCACTCGCTCGAGGCCGGCGCGATCGATGCCGAGACCCGCCAGCGCCTCGTCGGCCTGTGCCGTGTGGAGGAGCACGTGCGCCGCCGCAAGCGTAGCGTGCCCGCAGAGCGCAACCTCAGCCACAGGCGTAAACCACCGCAGCTCGGCATCGAGCTCGCCGTCCGTCGCGCCACGGACAACCACAAACGCCGTCTCGGCGAGGTTCATCTCGGTCGCCAACGCCTGCTGCGCCTCCTCCGACAGCGCCGCCGCCGTCACCACCACCCCGGCCGGGTTCCCGCCAAACCGATGCTCGGTAAAGGCGTCCACAGTCACAATGGCAATGTTCATCTTCAAAGCTTCTCACCTCTTGGCCAAGGCGAGTCTGACACAGCGCGAGCACGACCGTCTCGCCCAGCCACGTCACCGCGTCGACGTGCGGGCTCTCTCGCCAGCCGATGCGGATCTGACCCGGCAAACCGCTACGTGTCGAACTCATTCGAACACCCACAAGCACACCGCGGCAAAGTGAGCGGTCACCTCACCACCCGCGTTGCCACAGTCACACCCACTCGACTCTCCCCCTGCTCGGACAGCCATCCCTTCTGCAGGGAACTAGTGGGCGTCCGAGTGCTGTTCTGAGCAAAGTCATCCCTCTTCTCCTCCCCCCCCCCCCTCTCCCTCCTCCCTGCCCCAGTCCCGCACGTCGCTTCATGGTGGTCTACGAATTGTGGCCCGCTCTCAATGATGGCGGCTCGGGGCTTGCGGCCCTAGCTTGGGTGCTGGCTACGGCGGTGCTGGCACTGGTCGGCAGCATCTTGGCGGTGGTCGGCTCTGCTGCAGTGTGGGTGGTGTGGGCACGGCTTGCCAGGATCGCGACGACGCACGCGGTCGAGTACCCGAGGCCGATGGGCACAACCGAGGTGGCATGGCGGACGCTGACGACTGCAGTCAAGAAGATCCCTGGCCTGGCTGGCAAGCCGTCGACTCAGACTGCCTTTTACCGATTGATCCGGTCGCTCGCGCTTGCTGGCCCGTTCCTCAACCGCTACACCCGGACAGTCAGCATGATGGTCTTCGTCACCTGCGACTCGTCGGAGAACGACCTGCAGGAGGCTATGGCTGAAGACTCGCCGCCGCTAAACTTTGGCTCGAACCTCTCATGGCTCTCTCCAATGGCCGGCGCGCCACCGATCCTGGCGCCACTGGCCCGAGTCGGCATCGACATGGTCCGGCTCCTCACGGATCCCCAGTTTCCGTTCTCGCTCCTCGGCGCCGTCCACGCTCGGCAAGCGATCCGGACCCATCTCCCGCTCGAGCCACTTCGCAAGGTTCTCCTCCAGTCATCGCTCCAGAGTGAGATGCAGATCGACGCGTTCCGGCCTGTCCGTCGCGGCACAGAGATCGACATTGTCATCTCGATCGCGCATGTCGGCGAGGAGCGCAAAGCCATCATTGACTATGTTGTCACCATCTTGGCCTTTCACACACACCCGGAGTCGGCTCTTGACTCGTTAGCCTCATCTCGCCCACCTTGGAACCATGCGCCACTCGATGAGCTCGTGCCTGTTGGCCGGCTGGCGGTCCCGGCCGGAGCTGGCAAGGCCTTTGCCACGGTCTGTGGTGACCGCAACCCTATCCACATCTCGCCGGTTGCTGCCCGGCTGTTTGGCTTTCCCGGCTGCATCGCCCACGGAATGCATGTTGCAGCGCCGATTGTCGATACCGTTCTTTCATCGTACACGGAGCCTGCAAACGCGGCGGGTCTCACCATCCACATTGGATTCTCCAAGCCCGTCCAACTTGGCTCCGAGCTTGATGTCTGGACCTCGACAAGGGCTGCATGTTTGGCTGACTCAGTCGCCATGTTCTCGCTCACTTCCGCACGATCGTCACCCCATCGCGCCCCTACAGTCCATTTGCGCGGCCGTGTCGAGTGGCACACGATTTAACTTGTTGCTAGCTCCTACGCTTTGCTCTCCCGCTCTTCCTGACTCGCTTGGAGCTGCGACGGCGGCCGCGGCCGCGCTTCTCTACTCTCTCTGACTCCCTCCCTTCTGTCAGCAGCGACGGCCACGGCCGCCAGAACGCGTCGCCGAGGAGCGGTTGTGTCAGGTGGCGATGCCACTCGACAAAGACTGCCTCCATGTCGGCAAAGGCGTCGTCGAGATCATCAAGCCACTTGCCAGGCCATGCCCCCGAGCTCTGCGCCACTTGCAGGTTCAGCCGCCCATTGCGGACGCTGACGCTAAACTCGCTGTCATCGAGCCCTTGCGGAAGCTGAAACGTGACCTCAAACCGCTCGCTGTCGCTGCCTGACCGACGGTGCTTCCGCAACCGTGGCAAGCGCCGCCGCCGCTTGGCCTCCGACACCGTCAGCATCCCAGAACCCTTGTCGTACTTGACCCTCACATCATGCTTTGACTTGATTCGCTCTGGCACCGACAGCGCCATCTGCATCCGAGTGGCGGCTGTGGTACGAGCGAGCGTGCTGCCCCGCCGCCTGCCTATCTTGGGCAGCAAGTCGAGCTCGATTGCGGAAGACGACGACGACGACGCGCTCTTCGACTTGGAGTCGTCAATCGTCGAAAGCGAGCCGAGCACTACCTCGGCTCCGGACTCGGACTCGGTCCATAGGGACCCGCTCGTGCTGCTTGACTCGCTCGTTGTCGAGTACGATGACGAGTTGGGGTCGTAGCGCGAGCCAGAGTGCGAGCCTGGCTTGCTTCGTGTGGTGCGCGTTCGCATGAGAACCTTTGTCATGATCAACGGCAACCGATTGCGCGTGCAAAGTGGTGCCTTGAGGTATTGAATAGCCGAGTATTTTCGCAGATATGTGTTGTGTGGTGTGCTTGCGCGTGTGCTTGTGCGTGTGCGTGTCCTCGTGTTCGTTTTCTTCTGCACAACGCGCAACCTTCACGAAAACACCATCAACCCTCCCACCCCCACCCCCGACCCCCCCCCCCGCCCACTCTTTCTCCGTCTCTCCCTCTCCCTCTCCCTCCCCCCTCCCTCCTGACGACATCCCATCACCATCCTCGGCGATTGTGACCTGGACCGAGCCTCCACACCGCACATGCCAGTTCGCACGCACTACCAGCCGAAAACGGACCTTTCTGCGGCAGTCATCTGACACGGAACACTGACGAGGAACCCACGCGCAGGGGAAGGACAGACCCACGCCACAAGGCAGACCCACGCCCCACACCCACTTCGCCCCACACCCACACCCACATACCGCACTCTTGCACATCCCCCCCCCTCACTCCCCGCCAACCACTGCACACACATACCTGTGTACATACGCAGCGCACACCTACCCCCCCCCCTTACA